ACCAGAAAAACCACCACACACACATGCACACAAGCTCTCCATTGGCTAAACCCAAACAACTGCTCAGCATTAAGGTGTGGATCTGTCATTAGTTAGCTTGGCCTGGCTGGGTGAGACCATTGTTATTGTTAAAGCGAGGGCTGTTTGCACAAGCCATATCTTCGGAGGGAAATGGTACTCCTCTGCGGCTTTTTCGACTCAGCCTGAGTGGATTGGGTTTCCGCTCGCTTTTCCAACCTCTCGTACGGCGCGGTATGAGCAGCTAATGCACATATTTTAATCAGCAACAACTCAGGTTGCTGGGAAATGTGTCCAGAGGCATGAAGCGATCGGGTCTGTTTTCTGCAGGATTTAGTCTGGAGAAGAGTGTCGACTCACTAACTTTGGAGTATCTTGGATGGGTTTCAGCCAAGCTAATGCCACTTGAAAGCAAAAAAAAGGAGGGAAAGTATAGAAGAAAATGCTGAATAAGAAAACTTGGATCTTGGAGTTAAAAAAAAAAAAAAAGAAAGTGAGGTGTGGGTATTAAGACGGAGGCAGCAGGGGTTGGTCAGTGATGGATGGCAGATAGAGCGCTCCTCCTTGGGAGTTGCCTGGGTCTTTCCTAAGTGTTGTTTAAACAGCATGAAGAGCAAAATGACATTCGGTCAACAGACACCCGGTGCCTAGACGATCAGATCAGAGTGGAAAAGACACACAGAGGCTCGAGGCGGCTATTAATCACTCCGGATCTTCTAAGAATGACGCATCGCACCTTACTGACGGCTGCAGGCTCCAGGAGAAGAGATGCTTCCCTCACATTCTCTCCACCGCTTTGGTGTTTGAATACCTTTGATCTTTCCTTGCTCCCTTTACAGGCAGTAGACAACTGAAAGTGTAGCATTTAACTATCAATAAATCATAACAGCTTTAACTGAGGTGCTGTAAGATCTACGAACAAATAAAAGCACCACTTCTCCACACCTCGGTATGCAGCTTTTAGGTATTGCACCTATACAATGTTAACTGGATTGCAAGTGACACATTTAAAACACAAAATCAATGCAGCAGAAGCGTCATTATCGGGAATTTTATCTCCCAGTGTGATTCCAGCTCCAAAATATTGCACCAGTTTACCAAAATGAAAAGCTTTCTTTTCTCCTGAGACTTGCACCAGTTTATTCAAACCTTGACTATATATTCTTGTGGACATCACGGCTGCATCATTGTTGCTTGAAGGACTCTGTTCCATATATGCGCAGTAGGTAGGGTACTAGATATTCCATACACGAGCACTGCTGCAGAGCATGCTCCACCACTGCCCTTGTAGCATAGAGATAGCATGGACCGACCACATGGATGCAAATCTTGTGCTTCAACCTGCTCCACCTCGACTCTTGTGGACTTGGTCAGATGATGGAATTCACGTCACTCAGACTCTAGTAGACCCTTGCATACTTGCAGCCACACATGGCCGAACACGGGTCCTACTCTCAAGTTTGAGCTCAAGTTTTAAGGGTATAAGTTTTATAATCAAGCTCTTGACGCATTAAAGGTGCAACTAAAAAGATGGCAGCACTCGTTCTGGTAAAAACCAAAGGTCGTAGCAAAAGTCAAAAGTTATAGAAAATGCCTGTCCACTTTCAATCTGTATGTCCAATATGTTCCACACTGTGCTAATAAATTGCTAAATATGCTTCAGTTGAGTAAGTGTCAGAGCCATTATACCAAAGAGCATGTGCCAATGTTCAGCAATCATTGCAATTCATTTAATCTATACTTGCCGTCTATCATTAAGAAGCTACAGACTTTTCAGAGCCACTTGAAGGAGATGATTTCTATATTTTCTTTAAGAGCATCTGTCGACAGCAGAGGGTGAAATGAGCGACAGGTTCACAGATATTAATGTAACAACTATTTATCTTCTCCAGTGCAGCCAATGCCACAGAGCAAGCCCTGCAGAAAAACTTATATTTTTTTTATTTTACGACAGACACTTTGACATTTAAGACAAGGGCGCAGCTAGAAACATTAATAACGGTTGCATTCCATTTTGATGGGGCAGCGCCAGAACCTGGCCCACAGGAATGCTATAAAGGAACATGGAAATGTATGTGGAGACGTTCTTGATGTTATTTTTTTACATCTGCAGTGATGAGTCATGATGCTACGAGAACGGCCGAGAGGCACTGCAAACGGTTTGTTCCATTATTCCACACAACAAAGTCAAGAAAATTTCAAATATCACATGTTGCACCTTTAAATTACACCTGACACCTGGACACACTTTTGTCACGACCACAGATGTGACGCTCACAGATGTAAAGCCGGCTTGTAGGGACTCCCCAAGAAAAGCAGACAAGACTTTGGCAGTTGACTCCCACTGTTTGCTCAGATTTTTTACGCTGTAGCTCCAAGTCAAGATGAGAAGTTTCCCAAGACCTCGCCCTGCCTGCTATCCCGACTTCTGCTCCCACCGGCCTCAGGTCATCCCCTGCTGCTTAAAAGCCCACGGCATTGATCTGTCCTTTTATCCCGCAGCAGCAGCTCTGAAACCACAGATGAACGTCTCGCAAACTGTGTTCCACTGATTGGAAAGTTTTTGATTAAAGCTGGTAAAAAGCAGTCAATTTCAGGGAGACCTTTTAACTGTTATTTAGTGCGCCTAACCCCCTCGACGGGGGCGTAACAGCATATATTTGCAAAAGTTACAGACCTCGAATTAAATATTCTGGTTTCCAGAGAATGCAAATAAATTCGGCACTAACAGTTGTCATAAGTCTGACTTGCCTGTGCGACATGTGGAGGAGGAGGAGGAGGAGTGTATTCAGGAGTGTTAAACCATATGTCTGTGTTAGATTTGGCTTTCTTTTGTATTTTTGACGAGGTGTCACGTGGGAGTGGAGGTCACATGTGCTGTCACAATGGTGTGTATACATGTGTTTTGGATACATGCACGTCTACTAGGTGACAGCTGGGCAGCCGATATGTAAGGAAGCCTTTTGTTTTACACTGATACGTAGTTGTCCTTCTTGCCAATTGTCTTGTCTTATTATTTCCAACATTCTTTTATTCTTATGGACTGCGCTGCACCTGCTTTTCATAAATCCACCACTAAGTATGTGCATAAAGTCATTCCTGAGTTCTTTGTAACTATGAACAAGGTACTAAAACCGGTTGCACCCATGGATTTATTGAAAGAACTGGATACTGGACTCAAAGACACTGCTCCCCTGGCGCATAAGACAAGGAATGTTTCGAGCTTCCAGGTTTGGTTCCCCGTTGTGCAGCCACTGCACATGTGCATATCTGTTTCCCCTCGCCGGCCCCACCCAAAAGTCTCTAATCTACGGAGTTAGAAATGAAGATATGGAGTGTTAGCGATGGTGGTTCAGGTGGAAGAGATATGACGCCACAAATTAACCCTCTGTAGCTCATGTGGGTTTTGGGCATTGTCCAATCCTGTCACATTTTTATCCACTGAGGACTCATTTTTCACTGCAATATAAAGTCCTGCACCTCTGTGGAAACAGTACAACCGTGGCTGGAAGTAGAGAGGACTCAGAAATGTCTTTTGTGCAGGAATACGCATTTAGAATTCCATAAATCATAAAAACAAAAACACCAAAAAATGAACAAATTCCCTTGATTACTTATGTTGTCCACAAGTGTTCACAATACTAGAAACTAAATACTAGTAAAAAAAACACTGAGGTATGCTATGGATTATTTAAATAGTGACATTTTTACAACCTCTACAAACTAAGCATTTCTACACGACTCTGCAAAGATGTTTCTTTCAACAACTTCCTAACAACTTGCTCCTCTGCATACTGTTTTTTATCCATGCTGTCAGTTTATTGTATTGATAAACTATGATCTCCCCCCTCTAGTCTCTGTTTTCATCCTCTCTCTGCTCTGACTCGACACCGCCTACAATTCACCCTGAATTTTACGTAACAGTTGCTTGCAGCTGAGTCACTCGTGGACACTTGGCAGCGCTGAGAAGAATGTCTTTGTTTCTACAGCAGCTGGTGTAAATGGTTTATTTTTGACTTTTTTTTTTAAATGAGATGTGCAGAATGAAGTGATTTAGATGCATTGTCACTATTTTAAGCTTTGATGAGATTTTTAATAATTGAACAGCATGTTACAGATGATTAGTTCAAGAGCAGTTGGAAAATTGAAATTCTGAATGTTCTTCCTGTTTTTACAGTTTCTGGCTGCTTAAATGGTGCAATCTTGTAGATTTAATGCACATCTGTGTACATATAGAACTTTCAAAACTGCCTGTGGGTTTTGAAGTTCAGAGAGTTTTGAAATCATCTGTTCTCAGTTTACTAAAATAATTAATTCATAACTAATAAGGGATAAAAGCAGAATGTTACATATGTTTAGTTTGCATACTTAACCAATTTTAAGGAATTTATATACATGGATTTAGTTGTTTTTTGCTTGTTTTTTTTTTAGTATTACTCACAGATTGATAATGAATAGAAAGAAAAACTGCAATTGCATAAAGTCTGTACATTGTAAAGCCTCCTTGTAAATAAAACTCACTGTTCTACATTCTTGAAGAGTTTTACAAATGTAAAACTGCCCCAGATTGGCCTGCAGATGTGTCCTTTAAAATGTAAGTCTATGGGGACAATGCATTTTGGGCCACAGGGGAGTTTTTTGTTGCGGTACCATCATTAGCCTCTGGCACTGATTAGCAGCAAAGCAGAGTGGTGGTGTCACTATATGAAGCTCTCTAAATCCATCCCTGGTTGCATTTGTCAAAAGTTAGACATGACTAAGAGCCTTTGCAGCCTATAGTTTTTATTCTTGTAACACCTCTGCAGCCATCATTATGTGTAAATACCCAACTACAATTAAGCCCAATGCAAGGCCCAGTGTGTGTGATGCAACCTCCCTCTATTTAATCCCGACAGTGAAGCTACAACTAGGCTAAGTTTAAACTTCTGAGCAGCTGGCTCCGGCTTCTCCTCCTCCTCTGTCTTCCTTTCCCTCCTTCCATTTACACTTTCCACCTCACCATCTTTCTCCCTCCTGCTTTTAGCCTCTGCTCTCTGCTAAAACCTCCATTGGGCATATTTACTCTGTCAATAGCAACACCACGTTTTCCACCACTCTGCTCTGTGAGTCAATGCGTTCACGCCTCCGTTGCTCTACAAGCAAACACGGTCGCATTCGGTGGCCCTGTGCAACGGCACGCAGCGCGCACGCGACCTCGCCGTCGTCCCACGAGCCATTAACGCAGAGCCAAACTGCTCCCTTCTATTTGTGTTCAAACTGAGTATCTTAAATAAGCATGTCTCGTGTAAATAAACTCGCAGAGGAACGAAGGAGTTGGCCATGTTAGGCTGTAGTGTTTTGGAACCGCAGGCCTAATTGGTGAGGGAGAGAAAGAATTACTGAGTGATTCAGAGTTTTAGCAGCCGGACTGAAGGCAAACATTAAAAGAGCATCCAGAGACAGTCTCTCGTTTAAACACAGACGCAGGAAGACAGAGAGAGCAACAAGATTAGTATCTGTTTGAAAAAAAAAAGGGGGCTGTGGGTGTCTGTGGTGTGTGTGCAGCTCAGCAACAACAGAGCAGGCTGTGAAATTAGCTCTACCTGACATCTGTGAGCTATTAAAAGCGACTTCAGGTAGCACATGTTGTCCACATTAGCCCGAACTGAGATTTACATTTCCACATCTCCACAAAGCATAATAAACAATCAAAGGGGGGCGTGTGCAGGCAGGGTACCATCAGTGACCACTGCGGAGCACTTTGTGTGCTGCTCTGATTGGAGAGTGGCACTGTGTTTGGCTGCAGGGAGAGGACAAAGGGGGTGTGTGTTTGTGTGTGTGAGGATTTCGTAAAAGTGAAAATCGCTCACGGATAATGCACAATAATAAAGCGCTGAGCAGTGGAAAGTAACTAAGTGTATGTAACAAAGTACTGTACTTAAAGTCTACATAGGTAGTTAGGATTTAAAATTCAAAATAAGTTACAGATTTACCAGGAAAACATACATAAGGTAGTTAAAATGAGCTCTCCCTTGACTAACATTAAACGCTGCTGCACATTTATGCATCTGTAGTCATAAATTATGTCTGAAACAGGCCATTCTTTTAATACTTGTGGCACTTTGCCAATAAAACTGGAACTTATAACTTATGTAAGACACTGAATGTTGGGCTTTTACGTGCAAAAGGCTGTTTTTTGCCTTACTGTGTTGCTACCTTTTCTTAAGTAAACGATCTGAATATGTTTGCCACCATTTGTCCCACTGGGTCACGAGTAAAAAAAAAAAAACAAGCTGAAACTGCAAAGTGTTCCTTCCCAAAAATGATGTGTAGAAATAAAAAAAAAAAAATCCACTTCCCCTGTTAAACAAAACCTGCCATTGGAAGTCATATTGGAAGTCTCAAATATGCGTTTAATTCCAAAATGAATATAAAGTTATAATGCTGTGAAACACAACTCTTTAAATGTTCCCAATTTTATTAGGACCATTCGTGGAAAAGAAAAAGAAAAAAAAAAAGCTAAGGACAGAAGGCAGAAGTTGAACAGTCAGCAAACTGAACAGAATCCGCAATTCACTGGATTATTGCTCTGTTGTTGGAAATGATATGAGCGATACAAATCAGAAGCTGATGTTTGACAGCAACTGTTGCTCTGCAGCAGTCTGCTCTCCCTCCTCCTCCCAACCCTTCCCTTCCTCCCTCCCACTGCCAAGAGGAGCAGACGAAACTTTGGTGGGTTTCTAGACTGCTGTCTCCCCCTATTGTCCAGACAGTGGAACTGTATGTGTGGATCCGAGTTGGTGGAAGACAGTTAAAAACATAAGAAAATGTTTTTAAAAGTAGGAATATGAAGTGTCTATAGCTGTGTAGGATGTCATTTGTCACATAGTGTGTAGCTTTGATGGTTTTCTTCCTTGTGGTTTGATCTTTTACTTCCCACATCCTTTTTGCAATGAATTTGTTGCTTTCACTGTTTTCCTTCATTATAAAATCTGCCACTTTGAGTCACTTACAGTGTACACATAAATATTCCATATGTCTGATTGAATGTTTAAAATCACTTTTTCCACATACAGCCTTGAGAATATCTCTAGGAAAATCTAGCAGAATTAAACACAGAATATAGAAGCTGCTGCTGCTGCTTGTGTGTGTGTGTGTGTGTGTGTGTGTGTGTGTGTGCATGTGTGTGTTTTCTGTGCTGGTTAGGAGAGGGAAAATGGGATCAAATTCCTTTACTTTGGCGTCACATGCTGCCAGCCAATCAGATTTGGGCTTTCCTCAGCATGGTCAGGATGCTATAAAGCCTGCATGCAAAACGTTTGCAGTTCAAAGCACTCAAGCGTTCTGGGGATTGTACTCGGGGACCAGAAAGGAGCTCTTTATCGTTTCATTCTGCAGAGCTGAAAACAAACTTTTACCAGCTGGCTTTTTTTTCCTCCCCCTTCTCTCCTTGCAAGTGCGGATCCGTTTGCAGAAAACACACTGACCCAGGGAGTCTTGCAAGAAGCTCGTGCGTAAAGACACTCGCTGTCCAAATCGGTTTTACGCGCGGCAACGGAGCGAGAGAGAATCAGCTTTTTGCGCACTTTTCTGAGTTGACTGACTTTGCTTAGACGCATCCTGGCAAGGTAAAGTCAATTTAGAGGTTTTTCCTCTCGCGAGAAAGCAGAATTAACTCTCCAATTTCACGCGTAATTTGGCACCAACAAGTTTTTCGTATGAATCTCCTCGACCCCTACCTGAAGATGACGGAGGAACAAGACAAGTGTCTCTCTGATGCCCCGAGCCCGAGCATGTCCGAGGACTCCGCGGGCTCCCCGTGTCCCTCCGGCTCGGGCTCCGACACCGAGAACACCCGGCCGTCTGAGAACGGGCTGCTCAGAGCGGACGGAACCCTGGCCGACTTCAAAAAGGACGAGGACGATAAGTTTCCCGCTTGCATCCGCGAGGCTGTGTCCCAGGTGCTCAAGGGTTACGACTGGACCCTCGTGCCGATGCCGGTGCGCGTAAACGGATCTACTAAGAACAAGCCTCACGTTAAGAGACCGATGAATGCCTTCATGGTGTGGGCTCAGGCTGCTCGGAGGAAGCTGGCGGATCAGTACCCGCACCTTCATAACGCGGAGCTCAGCAAAACTCTGGGCAAACTCTGGAGGTAAGTGTTGATGCTCTGCTAGTCAGCTTTTACGCACCGACTTATGATGCGTATTTTGGATTTACAATGTGTCCATTTCTCATTTTTTACCACTTTTCTGTTATCACACGTGCACCTAGTCTTTCTGTGTTCATTTTAAAGCTGCAGAATGTTAGTTATGTACATTGATTATTCATTTTATTGTTTAGTAAAAGCTCATTTGCTATTGATTACAGCCGTAAATATAAAGCGTTTCAAGTACAATAATGGTACTTTTTACGCACAGACTTCTCAACGAAGGGGAGAAGCGGCCGTTTGTGGAGGAGGCTGAGCGGCTCCGGGTGCAGCACAAGAAGGATCACCCGGACTACAAATACCAGCCCCGGCGGAGGAAGTCGGTGAAGAACGGACAGAGCGAGCAGGAGGACGGCAGCGAGCAGACGCACATTTCCCCCAATGCCATCTTCAAAGCTCTCCAGCAGGCGGACTCTCCGGCTTCCAGCATGGGAGAGGTGCACTCTCCTGGTGAGCACTCAGGTGAGAAGAGAGAAAAATCTCATTTTCACTATTTTTAACTCCCCTCGGTAGTTCAGTGTTTCAAATAGTGTTTGGTTGAATGCCTCAAGTTCTCCTCTTTTCTCTGACGATCTTTAAAAATTGATTAAAGGATTCATATTTCATTCTTTTACCCAGAACTTTAACTTGTTGACTTGCTTGATAAGTACAACAATTAATTAAGAATTAATAGTTAAAGTAACATATCATCTGTTTGATTTTTTTAGGCTCCCAGGGTCCCCCTACTCCCCCCACCACCCCAAAGACTGATGTCAGCTCAGGCAAGATGGACCTAAAGCGTGAAGTGGGCCTCCGCTCTCTGCCCGATGGCCCCAGTGGACGCCAGCTCAACATTGACTTCCGTGACGTGGACATCGGCGAGCTGAGCAGCGATGTCATCTCCCACATTGAGACCTTTGACGTCAACGAGTTTGATCAGTACCTCCCACCCAACGGTCACCCGGGCTCCGCCAGCGGCCCTGGCAACGCCACGCCAGTCAGCTACACTGGCAGCTACAGCATCAGCAGCGGAGCCCCAGTCAGCCCTCAGGCAGGAGGTGCGGCAGCCTGGATGGCTAAAAGCCAGAACCAGCAGGGACAGCAGCAGCAGCAGCAGCAGCACACCCTGACCACCCTGGGGAGCAGCGGCGGCTCAGAAGCGGCTCAGGCCCAGCACAGGACCCAGATCAAGACGGAGCAGCTGAGCCCAAGCCACTACAGCGAGCAGCAGGGCTCCCCCCAGCACGTCGCCTACAGCCCCTTCAACCTGCAGCACTACAGCCCCTCCTCCTCCTACCCGGCCATCTCCAGGGCGCAGCAGTACGACTACTCCGACCACCAGGGGGGAGGCACCACCGCCTCCTACTACAGCCACGCGGGGGCGGGGCAGGGCTCGGGGCTGTACTCGACTTTCAGCTACATGAGCAGCCCCAGCCAGAGGCCCATGTACACTCCCATAGCCGACAACACGGGGGTCCCCTCCATCCCGCAGAGCAGCCCCCAGCACTGGGAGCAGGCTCCGGTTTACACCCAGCTCACCAGACCCTGAGCCGCCCGGCAGAACTGAGACATGTACAGCCACACACATCCAACACACCCCGAAACACTTTACTCCAGGGAGAGTTCTTCCCCTGAATCAGACACTTGAATTCAAAGAAGAGGAGAGCTGGACTTGTGATTGGCTCACGTAGTGCCTTGCTATTGTATCATGATAGAAACTATATATATATTTTTAGAGAGATGAAAAGACTTAAGAAAATCCTCTGTGAGGACTTATTGATTGTTGATATTCCAGTAGGTACTGTGTATGTTTCCTTTTTTTTCTTCATATGCTGGCAGTTTGTAACCCATGGGGGCATGGGGGTGGGAGGGAGGGTTAGGATAATTATTTGTATCTGTAGATATAAAACAAAAAAAGTTTTATATTGTTTTGTTTTCAAACCAGTTCAGCAACTAACCATTTGCGGTAGTGCAGATTCTGGTCCGATTTTAAGAGTTTCTGTTTTGTTTTTTTTATTACTTTGTCGCTTTTCATGTGCCATTCAGCAAGTATGGTTTGTATCGAAGCTGTCCAAGTCAAGTGTCGTCGGGAAAGCTATTAGGCAATACGAGAGCAAAGAGAGAGACTTGGTTTCACAATGCTGTGCTGTGTTGAGAGGCGACGGGGGGAGAGGGAGAGAGAGAGAGACTGCAGCCCCCTTCCACCATCCGTGCCTTGGATTTTACATTTTTCCCCAAAACTTTTTTGTATGTGTGCGTGTGTTTGTGTGTGCGTGCAACGGCCACAGCTGAGATTACACTTACCGTCCGACAGCGTGTGTTTGACAGCTACAGGATGTCACCTCTGACCCCATGGGTGTCCCCCTGCAGTCTCCCCCGCCCTTCCAATGCTGGTGTCCAACACACTCCCCCCACTCAAGCTTCCCTCCCCACCCGTCCCAGGTCAAATCCAGTTTTTAACATTTTTTTATTTATTTATTAGCATTAACTTTATTTCAAAGTAATTATTTTGCATACTATTCTTATAACTAATGAATTGTCCTCTTTGCAATGTAGACAGCATATAAATTCCCCCCCTCTCCCTTTTGTTTGTTTTTGATTTTCAACCCAGGAGGTACTTAGACAAAATGGTACATGCTGTAATCACCCCCTTTTTTTTGTTTTTTTTTTGGTTTATTTATCTTATCTAAATGTCTATTTTAAGTATGTATTTGCCTTTTTTTCTGAGGGTCAGGGGGATTATCTAACAAAAATGCGTATGGATTATTTGTTATTTGTGAATTTTCTTTGAGTTCGACTTTAATCTATGGCTGAAAGAACTGGAAAATGGTATCTCAGTTACACAGTTTTTCTGTTAGGCTTTTTTTTTTTTGTTGTTGTTGTTGTGCGATCACCAGAGGGACCTTCCATCCTCTCTGCTCTGCAAGCTCCATTTCCTTTTCTCTCAGTATCAAAGAACTGATGTTTCCAATACTCTTTTTTTTTTTTTCTCCTGCGATCTCGCCATGTATTTGTACTGTCTTTAAAGAATCTTTTGTATATGTATTTGCAATAAAAAAAGAAAATGCTATTAAAAAAAAAAATGTTTTGTCATTTATCCCTCAGGATAAAAATCAGGAAACAGTTTTTTTAACAATGCCGAACAGCACATGACACTTAAAACAGATGATACTTGTTGTTTTCCACATGCCAGAGTCAGCGAAGGGGTTAAACGAACGGTGCCAAGAAGCAGCACTTGTGTTTGTTTTCCCAGAAGCCTTATTTTTTTCCCCCCTCTGCTTTTATTTTCTTCCTCCCTCTCCTCCCCGTCAGCTGGTAGCAGCGGGGGGTTGTGAGGCTCTGGGGGACCTGGAGGGGGGCACTCAATATAGCAAGTGTGGTAAAAGTGCTGAAAATATTCAGAATTGATTTCAAAGGGTAAAAAAGAAAGAGTGGGCTGGACAGTTCCCGCATAGATAAAAATCCTGGCAGGGGGGGGGTGCGAGGATTCATATAAATAAGTCCTCGCTGCAAAACAGACCCGTAACACTGATTTTCTATTCCAGGCTTGTGCATGTGGCAGGTATCCTGTGAAAAACCTCAACTCAGGTTACTTAGCATCCGATGGCCTGGTAAAAACCCACGGCAGTAAGTCAGAATGCTCGAGCTGAAAGCTTGACTGGTTCCTGAAAACCGACACCTTGTTTGTATACAAGGTATGATTGGATATGGACGTAATTGCGTAAACACGTTCTAATGCAAACCAGCACAACTGGCAATCAATAAATATCAGCTTTGTATAGATTCTATTGTAACGGAGGTCTGTTCCCGGTTCTCATGGACTGAACGCAATCAAAGTTGAAGAGAAGACGTTGTAGTTTTTGAACTGCATTGAATTAGTCAATAGAAAATCCAGCAGCAAGAATTTTGATAACTGATTATTTGTTTAGTTATTGAGAAAGAAAAAAAAAGGCGAAAGTTTGCAGGCTTTGAGTTTTGGGGCTGTTAAAGACGTCACCTTGGAAATTTTTTAAGGTTTTGTTATATTTTGAACATTAAGTAATTAATCAAAAAGTAATAAATACACAAAGCAGTCATATGAATTTAAAAATTAAATTGAGTTTGGTACCAATAAACTAAATAAATATCTGTATAATTAGCTCTAAACATTGTCAGTGACAAAGTGAACCCTGAGTAACTGAGAATCTTATCAAACGCCTGTTCTGTCTGTGGGAGTTCCCAAGTTTTCATTATTTCGTGTTTTATGTGTTTGGGTTTGTTTTGTGCAGTATAAATTTATTGTTGAGCTGTCTGTACGATAGTATGCTTATAAGACCCATGCGGGAATGTGCAAACTCACTTATAGGCTAAAGAGTAAATGCTACTGTATGTGGTACAAGCTAATATTCGCCTCACTGTGCTAATATGTGGTAACTTTTCAAAGAATAGTTTGAATTTTAAGGGAATAATCAGTACTTCTTCACTTTTAGTTTGATTAAAATTACATCTGAGCATGAATATGATACAGTAGGCGCTGGGTTAGCGTCACGCTACTTGGAAAGTGTAGTGAGCTAAGCTAGCAGTAAATCTTCATTAAATGAAGTTTCAATACACTGAAGGCATCCTCAGAAAAATGTAGCAAGCTAATGTACACCAAAATATATCAGAAACACATTTATTCAGCTATTTATTTACATTTACTTTTATTTATTTGTTGTCAAAGACAGTGAAAACACGTAGTTAGCTGTTGACAAGATGATAGCTTCATTACCATTACAAAATTCAGATAAAATAGTTCCACTGCTACTTGTAGCATCACTCATGCCCAGCAGTGGTTAGCTTAGCTTAATACGAAGACTTGAAACATCAAATAACACCAAAAAATAAATAAAAATCACAGCACATCTGAAACTCATCAATTAATGCAATACAGCACATTTGTTTGTTTTTTTAAAGTGGAAAAACAATAATTCACACTTTTATGGACAGCTATATGCTAAAATACTTGCTAGGAGGCATTTTGTTTATCATTTAAATCAAGCAAGCAAAATACAAAGAGTCCACATGGAGGTGTTGGCACTACAAGTTTGTGGTCAGTATCAATACCAATGAAATTCTACATTTCTTCATACCAATTTTAATACCAAAATTAAAAAAATACATTTATTAAATGAATGTATTTCAACAAACAGACAACATAAATGCATACAGCGTTACATTATGAGCAGCATTCACCTCATATTATGAGCCACCGCTACATTAGCCAACATAAGTTAGCCTTTGTGAATGTTGTCTGTGGAGCATTGCCACAACGTATTGTATCAGTTGCATCTTTGGAGAAATACTGACTACATTTCAGGACGTGAACAATTTTTACGACACATAGGTAGAAAGTAACTAAAGTTCAATCTGGATTCTTATTGGGATGTCTATTGTGTCTGTTGTTGTTAAATGCTTTGCGATCATCGTACTCAAAACATCTCCACATGTAACTCTTTTTTTTTCCTCTTTCTTCCACAAGTCACGATGGACTTGTTGCTGCACCTGCACTTGCCACCATCATTCCACATGTTGTTGGGATGGATCTCCGGTAACTATCTCATCTACGGTACTATACAAACCTGTAGTGACATGTTTTTTTTCGTTCTCGTGACACTCCTACTTTGAACAGATCATGGTCAACAATACCGACTTTTCACCCCTGATGCTAAGCTAAGCTAACTGGCTGTCAGCTACATACTTGTTGCACAACCATGAGAATGCCAAAGACCTTCTCCAGCAAGAAAGAAAGTGAAGAAGCACTTTTCCTACAATGCTTTCCATACAAACTCAAGCGTATACATATACACATTTTAATGCCTTCCTTGGTTTGAGTTATATAAATAAACATACTGTTGGAAAATACAGCATGCAGAATACTCTCACATGAAAACTTTGTGCAACTACAGAGTGCTTCTTTGAGATTCAGTTCAACAGACCTTGCATGACACCACAAACAGGGCAGTTCAACAGAAGGGAATCCGAATGTCCCAGAACATCTGAACTATTAACAATCTCCTCTTTGCAGAACTGTGGATTTGTTCTTAGTGTCCCTTCAGGCAGAGACATCTGTTACACAACTAAAACCATCACAGCTAATTAACAAATAAAAAGGCAACAACAACAGCCATAAAACTCCATGTTGTTCTCTCAGTTGTTTCTTATTAGTTCCATGAAATGTTGTTATTGATTATTAAGGTGGGGACAAGCTGCTGAAACAGCAGACCCCTCCCTGCAGGTCCTCGGAGCTGGCACCACACAAAGGTCAAGGAAGGGAAATACTGAGTGATGTCACTCGGTCGGGGGACTAAACACCATGTTCCTATGATGTGGATTACGTGTTAGGTGACACAGTGTTTTCATACTCATTGGAGGCGGCTCATGAACACTCCATTTATGGAGGTTTGAAGAGCCCAACGGCTGAGACAGATACGAAGCCAAGACTCACTTTGTGCCGCATGACTGCTGATGGACTGCGGCCGTACAGCTCCATCATCATGACACGTTTTTTTTTGAAAAAGGATTTTCATGTCTCACAACTGTTGGATAATAAAAGCAGATTGGGTAACTATAGCCAGCTTGGACAGATCAACACGAAGATGATGGATCTGTCTCTTGACACGCAAGAAAAGAAGAAACTGCTGTATGAGAAACAAGATACAGTAAACGTAGTGAAAAGACGAGGAAATAGTATCAATTTGTGCAAGATGTGCCAGTCAGCGAGGCGACAGAGTTCATACGTCATGATTGCTGACTCACCTGACTTACATGTGTGGAATTGTTTCCTTGAAAATGGTAAAGGTTGCAGGATGACACTGCACATAGTCACTGTGTTACGCAATACCTGCTGATATGTTACAATAAAATACAGTATTCATTCTAAAAGGAGGCTGCCACATGAAAACAACCAAGTCACACATTAATCAGATCATATATAAAACACACTACAAAGTAGAAGGTGAATGAACATTTATTTTTGGCTCCGGAAACATTTCACGTCTTATTCAAGAGGCCTTTTGAGTTCTACCTGACTGATGGGGAAGTCCAGGTATCTACTCATAGCCCTTTAACAACCCTACACGTCTCAAAGTGAGGAACAGCTCGAGGTCTGTAGGGTGGTAAAACTGTCTACGGAGGGAACTCCCCAGACAATACCTGATAAGCAGTGTCATAAACTCCATAGAAATGTGTGCAGTGTCGTTTAGCTGTCGTAGGTACAACCGTTGCAACTATCTTGCTAACACGATTTAGCTTCCTCGTCTACTTTGTAATAAGGCGTCTATAATATCATGTTGTACTTGACGACAGCATTGCGCCTTGCCTTCCAACATTTGGTGTTAGTGGTTCCAAATGGCAGGAAATAGACACTATAAGAAGTCAGGGGTTTCTAAACGTTTTGACGACATGAAGCAGACAGCAGCTACAATATTTCTGATTAATTACTAGTAATGTCATGGTAATGTCATGGTAATAGTAGAATGCAACCTAAACTGTGGTGCAAAACGTAGCTCACGTCAATATGAGCCCTGAGTCTGTTTTCCAGAGACAAGTTGGTCAAAGCGGGGTGTTACTGGATGTGACTGACAAGCTCAGCATGTTTGGAACATCCAGTTTGCTGTAGAACCTTGTTTTGATGGCAGTCTGAGCTGAAAATCTGAAAGTGTGTGGATGGGAATAGCAACAATATCATCAGCACCACTGTAGCAACTTCTAGATCGTCACCTACAACTGTGATCCAGATGATTGGGATGTGGATAAAGTCCTCATCGTTTCAATCATTAGTTTGGATCAGAAATAGAGAACTGCATACCCTCTCCTTCCTGATTCTTGAGTTGTCTGCAAAGCGGGAACATCTCTCAAACTTTGCTGACAGCCACCTAACTAGCTCGTGAGAAACCATCCACCCCGCACGTTCACCTTTCACCCACAAACTGCATAACCAGTGAAACGTTTTTATTAACATATCTAAACCTTTACTTATACTTATGCACTTGACATCTGTTAAAAATAAATTGCCCTGTGATGAACAGATCCAGGGAAATAATTAACAGAGACAGTGCAGCGT